AATATATTGTAGATATGGAAAGCTTGTATGAGGGCTCAACAGCAACTGCTTTGGTGGAAAAGCAAATGACGTATATCATAGGGGATTACGTGTAGGACGAGTTGTGTTTTATTGTGCATGTATAAGGTAGATGCGAATAACTATAAATAAACAATTAAATTTTGATTCAGGAAGTTTTAGGCTGCTGGCAAATCTAGCCTTGCGAAAAAATTGTTGAATATTGGGAGTCTACCTTTGTTTTTGTCTGTGTCGTGTTTTACTCTTATAAGTACCGTGCTCATACTGGCTAAATTCATGGGTGAGAGGAGCCTTTGCTGGAGGAAGCGTGAAAGCAAGAAGGAAAACGTCCGAAGCCACATTTCCTTCTAGGTGGTTCAGTCATACGGATAAACGCTTCGCGTCTGCATTGGCTTTCCGCCCCTCCTCGACAGCCGACGCCAGGACGGACTGCTGTCTCTACGACTGCAAGTCGTGAAGCTGAAGAACAGACGTGGTCGTCTCCTTCATTAGGTAAACCATTCGTGATCAGGATTTCTAGGAAGCATGTAGCAAAGTGGTTTGGTTTCTGTAATAATACACTTTTCTTGACACAAATATTTCTTCAAATATTCCCTGCTCAATTTATAGCAGTGGTTTTGAAAATCAACAGAAATAAATATATTTGCTCTTTATTAGAGCTTGCCTAACTGATTGATATGATTTATTGATATGTGGAGTTGAACGTCCCAAAACCGCCATATGATTGTGAGAGACGCCGTAGTGGAAGGCTCCGGAAATTTCGATTACCTAGGGTACTTTAACGTGCGCGCTAATTTGAGCACATGGGCCTACATCAATTTCACCTCCATCAAAAATGCAGGCCGCCGCCACGATTCCATCCCGCGACCTGCGGGTCAGCAGCCGAGTACCATAGCCACTAGACCACCACGGTGGGGCAAGGGCTTTGCTAGACCTTACCCTTGTCCAGGAGAAAACCTTTTGCGGTTCACTCATTCAGGAGAAAATAGTTTGAGATTAGCCTCACTATTCTGTAATTTGTTAATGGGCCATTATGCTTTATCAGTGCACCTATGAGCAGCACTCCTTGAAGAAGACTTTTATTGTCGGTTCTTCTATTGCAGCGTAAACTGTACAAACAATGAAACCAACCGTTTTCAATTCACAGTTTTCATCGAGGTTTTGACCGTGGAACAGTGTGGTATTGGACCTCTAGATGCATAGCACGGCCAAACGACGAACCCAGCCTTTAAACACACGTGCACAAGGACAGACGTACTGATAAATAGACACGCTGGCAAATGGCAAGAGTTTGCCGAAAGAACAGGGTAAAAAACACGCACTTAAAAAAGCTAATCGAAGACGCCTAGGGTATCATCTCCCCTAATCTGTCGTGTAGAGATAATACTGGTCTTGTGTTCCTTTTTAGGGTAGAGGTTGCTATCTGTTGCTATTTCACAGCGTGTGAAGTCGTCAATACTTCTCTTTTTTGTACTTGCTTTTTAAATGCTAATTTTTTCGTTTTTTATCGTATATTACTATGGGACCGCTAGATTTTTCATCCCTACAGAAAGGACCGCAACGAAAAGTGAATAACTTTTGTAATTTTACCATTTTTATTACCGAAGTATACTAATGCACGAACTAAAATAAAGCTTGAAGTATAATGATTAGGATTTCGCATAGGGATAAGGTATATTAATTATCACCATTAAGATAATCTTGACTACACCGACTAGGGAAATGCCTTTCTCATGTTGCATCACTCCATTTGCCTTTGGGCTTACTGTAACCACGTTATTCGAAGATAAACTTATTTAACGGAGATCTGTCAGGCTGAGCATGAAATATACTAGTGTGTCAATTTTACAAATGCCTATACGAACTGGCACTATCTTTCAAGGCTCATTTAGGTCACTTCTTCAAGGAGGTGACCACACAGTTAACAGTTTCAGCTGCCCGCTCAATAGCGCAGCGGTTATTACGTCCCTATACTTATCGAAATGTTTAAATGAGAACGACATTAATCACATATTCAGTTACACCCTCTCGCTACCGTTATGCATATGATGCAGCGATAAATCGTAACTCACCTGGAGATCTCTCACCGCCCTGTGTTTCTGTTTCGGGCGCCTGCATTTCTTTTTTTGTAGAATATGCCTCCGCATATGCTTTCATTTGGAAATAGTGTACACATAATTATTAATGGCATATATTTTTATGTCAAATAATATAAAACTCGATTGCACTGTGAAGAGGCGTACTGCACCAGTCGCTTGTGAATTCATAACATACATGTCATGGATATCATGTTATGACTTTTCACCTATGCTTGTCACACAGTAGTGTTATGCCATACCACTTTTACTATAGATCCTACTACTAAACCGCCAGAAGAGCTAAAAGTCCTATGCAGCCAGATATTGAGATGGATAATGATATACGGTCAAATTCGCCGAGGATAGCCATGAAACACTTCGAATTTATCAGCAGTATTAGGCTTGAAGTATACAAATGGACAGTTTCTGAGTGGCAGGCATATCAGATCATTGTTCTTTAAACAAATATGCTCATGTCAACAATTGTTCCAAGTGTCGGAGTCCATAGCTCAAATATTGAAAAAATTACTCTGTGCTTCATGGGCGGGTTTTCTTTAAAGACTTTCTACAAATATTCTTGTATGAGAGCATCTAGTTTGTGTAAAAATAGCTGTTCTTTAACAACAAAAATGGTTGAACCCTCCATCATATGAATCGGTATAACAAGAAAGCGTAAGGTCTCCTCGCAGAAGTAGTTTGTTGTTTAGTGCACAATCTTATTAAACAGCCTATAGCCTGTTTGTTGGTGTTTAACAGACAAAGAACTGTCTACTGTAATTAACTTCATGTTGGCGCTCAGTGATAGATTTTCTTCTTACGACTCTCGTCAATAATTACGATTGATCTATTATTTACCGCAGACCTCTGTTCATGCATGCCTGTGGTATCTGTAGTAGTTAGTAACGAAAGCAGGACCAAAAAAAAAGCAGTGGGGCAGCTAGAAGAACGTAATTGGTTGTACCTCAAAAACAGTTCTACCCTGTGAGGTTGCAAAAATATCATCTGGCAAAGGGAGTGAATACTGGTCCACCTCAATAGCAGAATTTACCATGACACGGTAGGCAACACATAGCCGAAGCTCCTTGCCAATTTTCTTGGGAACAATTGCCAGACGTGTCACCCATGCAATGTGCCGTATCCGGTAAATGACTCCAGCTTTTGTTTTTTTTTGAGTTTGACAATTCCTGCTCGACTTGTTCGCTTAGCGAGTACGGCACTGATCATGCCCTACAGAATACAAAGAAGCGTTTTGTTTTGACAACAAAGCTCGCCTTGAAGCCTGTTATCGCTCTATAACTTGGCTCGAACTCTTCGTGGTATTTGTCAGTAAAGGCTTTTTTTTGCAGTGCTTTCACTTGTATTACTTCACGCCATCGAGTTCTGATTTTATTCATCTAGTTACAGCCAAACAACGTTAGCACTCTGGCACATTTTGTCTATTTAGCAATTACTAGCGACAAATAAAAGCACGGCTCGTAGTATTGCACTTCAAAGTCAATGACGCCTTTGGTATCAACTGGCATGCCCTTGGATGTAACAAGCTTGACACCTGCTAGCCTGAAATTTGCATAGGCAATATATTTCGCACACTCAGTGCCAGTCATAACAGAAACTGCCGCTTCTGTATCTAGTTCCAGGTGTACCTCTTTCCCGTTTAGTCTTACACCCATTGCAATGGCATAATTGCTCGAACGTTTATCAGTGTGACAAAGCATTAGCAATTCAGTGTCCAACGAGTGTTGCTCTTCTTGGTGATGTACCACCCTGAGTTTACAAATTTTTGCGACATAGCCCTTCGTTTGACATTTATATCATGTGCTGTTGAGAAACGGACAACTTACAGGTGCGTGTTGTCCACCAAACTGCTGAGAAATAGTTTAACTTTGTGTCACCGAAGTCCTTGTGATGTTGCCGCAGCCATGCCCGGTGCCCATCCCACTTAGCGAATGATGGCACGACGCTGCTGATCGGCTATGTAAATGTATTTCACTGTTGCGGGATGGCGGTAAGACGGTGTTTTGCGCGACCATTCTACGGCGTATTTTGTGGCCATCTCCATGACCGTATAGTGGTGTCGCTGCTGTGGTCCCGGGTGAGCTCACTGTCCCTCATGGCCAGCAACCGGCAACGTATGGCTTGGGAATGTACGCCTGCTATTACGTGGGCCGGGAGCGCTTGTTCCACAAAGGCGCTGAAGTCACAAAATAATGCCAATTTCTTCAGCTGTACGACAAAATTCTGCGACAGTTTCTTGAAGGGCTTGCTTCCTTTGGTTGAAATGGCATCTTTCACTCACCAATGACCACCTCGGAGAACAGCGCTTCTTCATCACTGACACAACTTCCGGGAATGACGACGTTCTCGGTGTCTCGAATAGTTGCAGGCTTCTTAGCGTCACGTCAGTACGCATCTTCTCCGATGGCAGTTTAAAACAGATTGAGTTTCTTGGCCTCGGCGATCTCATTACCTGTGGTGTAGATCTCGAATATTTCGACGAACACGTCAAAACCGCTGCTGCTGGTAGAGAATTCTTGTAGCTTGCTGAGAGCCATTGGCATCTTCAGTTTTTGTTCCATCCCAAGCTCGTCGCTACATTGTTGCATCCGCAAAGAGAAAGGCCGAGGCTTTACGGAAGACCTCTATTATGGAAATGCATGCTAGCAGCACAAGACAACGATTCCCGCGGCAACAGAACACGAGCCAGAGTATATATGCCTACAGGCCGCTTGCGCGCGTGCGATAGCATGGTGACGTCACTAACAGTCTGTTATTTAGCGATGCCCTTCACGCACCGTAATATATATAACAACGCAACGCATGCCGCATGTTAAGCTATGTAAAGGCTTTTTTTTTTTAAATTCACCACTGGGAAGGACACAAAAACAACGCTTGCAGATATCCTATATATCAAGGGAAGACAAAGTGAGTAAAAATTATGCATGTCAGTGGCCATAATAATCAACATTCACCTTCCTAGTGACTGCATCAAACGGGCATATTGATAAGTTAGAGTTATATTTATAAGAATCCTTCTAAAGCATGTCTCGGCTCCGTGATATACCGCGACAACGTTTATTTTGTTATTAACATCATTACACATGCGAGACAGTTAGCACGGGCACAAAGCTCATCCCCGATGGGCCGTGTCTATTGCATAGGTCACTTAATTTGACGACTGGTCGAAGGCGTTGGCCAATTGACAATGGTTACCAGTTTGCCACCGGCTCGACGTAGCAAGGTATGAGAGTTCGTCACATCGGGAAGAAATTGGAGAAGAACATTGCACCAATCTTCATCGCCTTGCATGCATAGTTATGCACTGCACAATAAAACTTTTCCGTGCGATATATCTCGGAGTAGAAATGAGCTAAAAGAATTGTTCTACGTGCAACTCCACTTGAATTCTTTCACGTGTGAATCACTGAAAAGTTATATACTAAATGACCGCAAATTGTGCCACTGACAGCCTGAAATATTGTCTAACTTCGTGCCACTATGATGTAGGAGGTATCTGAAAAGTTAGCTTTCATGTTCCTCTAATGTTCCTCTAACTAAAAAAACCATAAAGCTTAACATTGCACACCCGGTATATAAGTGTAAGAATGAAAACTAGAAAAAGACAAAAAACCCTCATGTCAGACCAGCACTTACTCTTCTAATTCTTCATAAACACCATCCAAAAGGCGAAGTTCTTGATGTGTATGCGGGATAGACGCTCTAGTAACACAATCGATGTCCCCATGTATTGTTTCACCAGCTTCAGTTCGAAATCTTGTTAGCAAGTCTGTGTCGCGATATAAAATGAAAATGTTCTCAATGTATAGTACGCACCCACACTTGGTGTAGTGGATAGCCAGGTGATTATCTATGTATTTGTTTACAATATTATTGTGTTTTCTTATGCGGTCATCGCGTAAAGGCATATTTTTCTGTCATCGATGTCCCCCTTATTGTTACCGTACAGCGCGAAGATCATTATTATACTCTCTGATCGAGTTGATGTCTGTTTTCCGCAACAGCAGCTATTCGCACCTTTAGCCGTCAAGGTCACCATTTAGCCAGTATTGGCGGCCTTCCACGCCGACGCAATTACAACTCCAATGACCAGCACTGGCAATTCGGGATACACAGCGCCACCACCATTTCGTTAAGTTGTTGATTAGCTGGCGCTCAGCGATAATGCGTAATGGCGACAGTCATGACGAGGCACAGACTCTCAGAGCGAGTAGCGTCGTTTTTTGAGATGACCAATCAAAGGGCGCTAAATATTTCAAGCCATTTCCAAGTTCTAAGGAACCGCCACAGCGGTGCCAACCAACTTCCTTGTATGAAGTTTTTCCCGCTATTGTACACAAATACGAACACACACGCACACACATAGTTGAAAAGTGGGACCAGCCTTCGTCGTTCATCAGAGTCACTCCGATGAAGGCCGATCAAGAAGCCAAATCGTGTTTTTTTTTGTATGAGTTTCCTGCTTGCTAGAGATATTTTTTATAGTTTACGTTCATGTCCTATGTCAGCGTCACCTCTTCATTATGTTTTATTAATATAGATATATAAGAAAAGGTGCGCGCTTCTCAACAACTGTTTATTGGTTGAAGTTTCAAGCGGAAACCGGTCTCCTTCATTAGGTCCTAATGAATATTGGTGTCTCATAGAAACTTCAACCAATAAACCACTTTGAGAAATGATAACGTGCTTGCTTTTTCTGTACGGCGACTGAACGGCAGAGTTATATATATTTATTAATTAATTAATTTATTTATTTATTTATTTATTTATTTATTTATTTATTTATTTATTTATTTATTTATTTATATAGGCAGGCATGGTGGTTGAGGGGCCGTTGCGTTGCATATAGTCAAGCAGATCTTTCGTGAGCGGTCACATCGTGGTTTATTTCGACGGTTCGGCCTACACTCTAGCCTTCAAGTGATCTTCTAGGTATTCAGCTATCCAAGAAACGGCTATTTGAGGAATTATATTTAAGGTTAAATATATTGAAGTGAGTTACCTTCTAAAAAGATATGATAATATATAGAAAAGTTAGCTCGATTTTATAGCTTTTGTCAGCAGTGGAAGCAAATTGTGAATGACAGTGACTATTTGTGTGACTGTGAAATGTCCATTTCTGAAAACGTGCCCAGCAGTCGTGAGAGTTTTTTTGTCGTCAAAGAATGAATTGAATGTTTTTACAAACACGTTCAATTAGTTTACAGCAACAAGGTATTAGTCATATGGGACGATGGCTATCTAGACGGCTACAATCATGTTTTTTTTTAGTGGGCACCACACGGGCCGTCCTCCAGTTTTTTTTTCAAGCTCGCGCACGAGAAAACAAAGTTTATAGAGTAGGTACTTTTCAAGGAGTTCGGCATATCGCAGTAAAATAAAAATGACATTTGGAAAGTCATCCGGCCTAGAGCAAGCTTCAGTTTTCCAGTGGAGTAGCATAAAAAATATCTGGCGTAACTAATAAATTCGAATTAATCGTAACGGAGATGCTGTCAATCAAGCCAGCAGTAATGTCATCAATTCCAACAAAAAAAAACGCTGTTGAAGTATGCACTAAATAGTTCAACAACGCATCTTTGTTCATTCAAATAAAATGACTGACACTGATTTATATTTTTTACTTAAGTATACCAAAATTTACTCGGACCATTTTTAATAATGTTTACTACCGTCATACTAAATACCGTTATTTTCAGTGAAACAAAGAAGTTTCAAGACTTCCGTTAATTTCTACTATGTCATTATGTGACACACGGTTATTTTAAATGTTTAATTTTCAATAATATGATTTACAACGTCATATATGATGTGTCCATGAGTACTTTCTTTCGCTTGTTGGGGACAAATTTGCCAAGGCGATTATGGCGCATGCTCTGAAAGCGTTCCCCCTAAATATCTACCTCACCATTATTATATTCTGCGAGTCGTGCCTCCAAGTGAACTATCTAAATTATGGGTTATACGCGCACGAGTAATTTTGTATACATGTAGACGTGTTTCTTTTGGTACTTTAGGGCAAGAAAGTGAGGTAGAATTGTTGACAAGTTTGTGATCAGACAGCCCATGTTGAATATGTGCAGTGTAATCGGCAATGCGTTGGGGAACGAATATTATATTTAAAAGAAAACTGGTAGTGCCAGTCACCCGAGTCAGCTGCTTTACGACTTGCACGATATGGTGCTCAAGCACTATATTGAAGGCAACTTTCGTGCCAATTTCGGTTTGAAGCCGATCTCGTTCAATACTAGGAAGTATTAAGTAGCCGGCTAAGATTATTAGCTTGATGTTGGCGCATGTGGACCTGTGGTTGGAACAGAAAATCTAAAGCACCATCAGTTGGCCTGTACGAGGCATAAAACTGAACGTCAGGCTACAAAAAGCGAGAGTAATGCACTAGAATTAGAGTTCGGCAATGCTATAAAATAAAATGGCATATATTTTATATGTAATAGGTATTGGAGTTTCGCCCCCATGAGTTACGCCAACCCTACGGGAAACAGTATAGACAGGGGGAAACACATCACCGACATATATCAATTTAAAACCATGTTTCCGATAAACCTGTAGTGTTTAGTGTGCTGCAAGAGGAATACCTGTAATAAACCAGTTTTATTTACATTGCTATATGCGGTCATACTTCCAGCTTAGAATCTAAAGGCAATGTGTTGTCTTCCCTTGTAGCAGACACGACTGGTCGCATAAAGTAGAAAAATTGAAGCTCTTCACTTTTGAACAGTTACGTTTGTTACTTACTGCCTATAAATTCAAAAATTTCAACTTTGAAACCGTAACTGAAGCGCCAACGAGCACGACTAGCAGGTGAGCTGCAGATTGCGCAAAGCGGCAACGATTACCTAGTGGTTAGTTATTCTGTTTTTGTGTGTATACTGTTACGAAACGTGCCTCCGACGACGTTACGAAGGGCGCCACGAATCTCACCGCTGCAACCACTGTTTACGAAAGACGGCGACGCCAACATGGTCCCGAAGGCACCACTGCTCCGATCTCCGCCGACGCGGTCACCAGCCGTTTGGTAGCGTAGGTTTCTCAGCCCGCGACTGCTTCTGCGCAGAGCTGATAGACGAGCGGACGAGAAGACGGTGAGTTGAACAAGGTTTATGTACAGCATATATACAGAGGCGTTACAAAATCGGCCCTGGTGCCGACAGCTTAGAGACACGAAGAGCCGAGCTCTCCTCTCTAACACATCGATCTACTGCTCACGACACGCCGCAGGGCTTTATTATATGCACCGGGTGGATTCTTTGAGTAACCAAATGTCCAACCAGAAGCGCCGCTGGTCGAGAGGTCAGAACCCTCCAATGGGGTCACCGCTGGGCCGCGTCGTTCTCATAAAATCTGGAGCCGCTGCGCTGCACGTGGCTGCACTACAGAACACCTACCAGTTGGCTGCACCCAAGGACGAGTGACGTAACCACGCATTGCGTCAGACTCGCCAGACAGGAAGGCGCCGATTGCTTCGACGGGCTCGCTGGCTGAGGTGACTCACTGTGCGTGTGCGGCAGAGAGGCACCGCCGCGTGATGACGCCGTTGAGATGTTCGCGTCAGGCGGCCTCGCGTGCTGGCCTTGACACATATTGCCTTTTTTTCAGAGGCATGGACGTTTGCTGTGGACTCGCAGGGATAACGATACATATAAGGAAACGCAGCCTGCACGCCTTTCAAACGATGTCACTCGATGATTTATATAACCACTGTAACTCATTCTGGAAACCCCGCGAGAATCTAATACTTGCGCTCTCCCGCGCATCGGTTTCGACGGTAAATTAGGTTGAGATTCATTTTTCTGAACTATTTATACTGCTGTTCTCGAAATTCTGAAGTGGAACTTGGCTCTTAGCAGAGAGGAATTCTTTTTTTTTTTCTGTATGATTTAACGCTT